GATTGATTGCACATTAATGTTGTATGTATTGCACATTAGTGATTTCTAGATTGCACTATATCGACTAAACTCGATCGAACTAAGTTTTTTTGTTCGAGTTTTACATGTCAAATTAATTATCTGTTTTTACCTTTCAAATATTAGTTTGTTTCGATTCCATAACGACTTTATTTGAAAATCGTAAATAATCGGTCCGAACAAATTATATAAATAATATTTTACTTTTACGTTTTTATACATTTTTTTTTTACGAAAAAATGGATATTTATCAATTTTTTATTAATTTCATACACATATGAAATTATTTTTAAAGTGCACACATATTACACATTATTGTGCATCTAATGTGTAATTATTGTGCATAAATTAATAATCATTATATGATAAATTGTCATAAATAAATAAAAAAAATACATAAAATTAAATAAAAAATTGCAAAATAGCCCCCCAAGTATGTCTAATTTCCCAAAACGAACCCCTACCACCAAACACTTTCAGTCACTCAATTCATCCTCCCCCGCCACATTTTCCCACACTCATCTAGTCCCTCCCCCTGCACACGAGCCGCCGCCGCCGGCGATGACTGGGAATCGCCGGTATTACAGTGTCGGCTACTCATTCTCCGGCCATTCCGGCGGACGTTACGGGTCGCGACCACCTCAAGGCAACCAGTGGATCGAAGACGGACTTCTCTTCAGAATATGACTAAGCTCGAGAGACGACGAAGCTTTGTCGGACTGCTGAGGTCCGGTCGTGGCGGAGGGGACATCGCCGGCGGAGCTCTTGGGGGCGGTTGTGGTTGAGACGTCATCTCCGGCGGAGCTGTGTCGGGCAGTTGTTGACCTGACGGCGATTCACCGAATGTGCAGGAGGCGATGACGACCATTGGCGGCGGTGGAAATTAATCCGACACATTTTCTCCGGCGAGATGGCGCCTTGTTAATAGTGAGATAGCGACGATGTGGATGTCCCCGGCGGTCGTCAGGGATGTCGGATGCTGGTGCGACGGCGAGTGCGGCGGCGAGAG